CCAATGGATTCCAAGGAAAACAGTTGGCTGGAGCCTCAGCCATTGGAAATTCCATGGAATCTGACAGCATTTGGTGGAAATGGTCAGAATCTGGGAGCCTCCCAGAACAGTTTCCATTGGAATTCCAAAGAAATGCAGTGATTGCAGCTGTTATTATAATACAAAAAATAATGTCCTGAGCAAGGATTGAACAAGAGCCTCCACAAACATCACATGACTCAGAACAGCATTCTTACCACTGAGCCATGGAGCCAGTGTAAGGTGCAAAACCATTATTGCATACAAATGATCCTTGCTTGCACCTTCCCAAACAAGCCTTGGCAAACGAGGTCTTCATTGTCTCCCTGTAATTCCTGCCAAGCTTGGGTGGTTTTTTAAGGTAGGGGAAAAAAAAGTTGGCTGGGGGAGGAGGACTGAGCTTGGCAGGACTCAAACCAGCTCTGAGGGCTGAATTAGGATTGACCAGGACTGGGAGTGTTTTTTACTTGGATGGTGCTCATTGCTGGTATTGATGTTGGGGAACATTTTCAGGGTCCAGGGTGCATTTCCTAATATAGTAATCTGTCCCAAAATAGCAGAAAAATTTGGAGGACAGTGCTGATTGTGGGTAACATTTTCAGGGACTAGCGTCCATTTCCACATATGGTAATCTAACCAAAAATGGCCAGAAAATCACCAAAACATTCAAATAGTTCTCACTGTTGTTTATAATATTAGGATCCATTGTTCAGAATCTAGAGAAATGTCCAGATAAGGAAATTCTGATGGAAAAATAGCAAAGAAAATCAGACAAAAACCAGAAAAATTATAAATTCTGTCAGGCACTATCTTCAGGGTCTACTTTAGGGTCCATCCCAAAAAGGAAATCTCATATGGTTTGACCCAAAAGTGAAGAAAAATGATTCAGGTCCATGTAAGGGGATGTTGAGATGTTAGTCACATGACCAGTTACCACAAATGGTCAAAATGAAAGTCGTAGCCCTACACTGTAGCTTCCTGAATGTGTTTGAATTATGTTCTGAAGTGTTCCTGTTGTGGAGATATGAAGTAAAAAAAATCAAAAGAGTCGCATTTTTTTGTTGTTTTTTTTTGCATTTTTCTCCATGAAAACAAAACCAGACCCTGCAGGAATTGGGGAAGGACTGGAAAGTACAGCCCCATCCAACTTTTCCCCCCCCTACTTATAGCTCATTGTTCCCCCTTCTTTCCCTCACCCTTCTCATCATCCACCACTACTACAACAATGACTCGCAGTATTGATGGCTCTGGGGTTTATTCTCTGGCCACTTGCAGATTAACTCACATCTGTGAAGTGAATTTTCTTAGTTGAAAAAGGGAACTTATTGGCTGGGCGAGGGTGAGATTTTTTGAATGCCAGTGAGTATTTTTGCCTGCATATATGCATCACTTTGTAAGTTCTGATGTTTTGGTGTTCATTTATCTAGGTTTGCATATTGTTCTGATGCACAGGCTGCTGAGGCCAGTCATGCACATCATGGATTTGCCTCAAACACCCTGTCAGCCCCCAACAGTCGGCAGTCAAGTCGAAATGTCTACATCACTGGTATCATGCTCAACAGGCCATGCTTTGCTTTCTCACAGCTCATCAACTTAGGAGGTGGATGGAAGGGTTGATCAGATGTGAATCAGGGATTTGGAGGGGTTTTTTTTTTGTCTGTGAGTGATGTATAAGGTGCATCTGCGATCATTCTTGTTCTGACTTTCCACTTTCCAGCACATGGTGTGCTAATCAAGCTATCCCTTTCAAAATGACAGATTTGGGCAGCTACAGCATTCTGGCAAAACATCATGAGGTGACTGACATAATCTATATTTTGTCTTTCACACTGTCAAGCTTACTGCCAGAGCTGATGCAGTCATTGACAGATGCTACGTGTGGCCTCAGGTAAGATCCCACAACACTAGTAGCTTTGTTTAACAATGTTGCAGAAGGATCAATAGCCCAAAAACAACCAACATCAGTCCTCCAGCTCCCAATGCTCCAGGTCCTGACCCCCTCACCTTGATTGCCCCCTTTGTAATCAAAGCCTTAGTTGCAGTCTACCCCTCTCTCCTCACCATCGCAGTTGAGGCAGCCCTGGCTATATGCGCAGCCATGGGTGCAATTCCTCACACACCACCATCAACAACCTATCTCCTCACCAATGCCCATCCAGCAAGGATGTCAGCCATCATTGCCATGATCATCCTGCTGCGCCTCCTCAGAAAACACATACTGGCGTGTCTGAAGGGAGGTGACTTCATCACAGGTCGAGTCCAGATGGCAATGCTGATCGTTCACCACACCTGCTTCCACTCCTCTCTTCCCTTCAACTCAACACTATGTCTTTTTCGGACTTTGTCTTAGGTACTACAAGAAATACATTATTTATTTTGCCTGTATTTCATATGAAGTGTTTGGTATTCTAGGATAAGAATTGAGCATCTAGCTAAGATTATGTGGAAAGGGTTCAACCAACCTTGGCCATGGAAGGGGGGCTAACCTTTCATGGCCTATTGGCACCTCTCATTGGAACATTGGAAGGTGAACTTTTGCTGATGCTCCCCAGTTCTATTACTTGCACCTATGCAATAAGTACAAAACACATCAACCACCATTCTGATCAGCTTACTCATTATCTTACTCATTACGATTTTTGCTCCTTGCTCTCACTTAACATTGCCACATCAAAAGAATTACTTGTTTAAAATACTCATATCATTGATGTCATCAACATGTCATGTCTATATCTACATCCATCGGAGTCTCAGAGTCCCAGAATCTGAGTCTGTTGGAGGAAGGGTGCATTATTTGCATCTGGAAGGGCTTCCCCCTTGTCCAAGATAGCTTTTGCTGAGTGATAGTCCAGTCCACCTTTGGACTATTTGAAGGCTGTCTCGTAGTGGTTAAATTTCGGATAAGGTGACACCTCCACCACCACCTGTTTGGCCTCCTGTATGACATCCTCCTTTTCAACCTGTCAGAACATGTAATTATAAGAAGAGAAAAGAAATAGCACCTTGGAATGAAAGTCAGGTTGGCCATTGCTTAAGATTTTCTTTTCCATTATTCATAGGCCACTCTCACCCTTGGCTCTCCAGATGATTAACAGTCTTTTCCGCTGGGTCTTCATTTGCCATCTCTCTCAAATTTCTCTCTGAGTCTATTAAAACTTGAACTTCAGGTGATTCAGTTCTAGGGAGAAAGTTAACTAGCTGGGAAGGTGTGATGGAAGGAGAACTTATATGAATGGCAAGTAATCCAAGAGACTTGCTCCTGCAACATCTTGCTGAAGAGCTTGCTGGAGCCTAGCAACAACACCTCTTGTTAAAAGATCCTCCATGACATACTTGGGTAAACTCCACCTCCACAGTGTTTCCAGAGCAGCCTCAGCATCCCCATACTGGTCTGCATCACGAGCTCTTTACACTCCCCCACCTATTCCTACTGGACTCCTACTGGAATCCCGGACTCCTACTGGATTCTACTAGGACTCCAGCCAATTTCATATTGCCTGAACACCATACAAATTTTGCATCTCAGTCCTACTGGAGTCCTAGTAGATTCCTACTGGAATGATCCCAAATCACAAGGAATTAAGGATTCCTAAGGAATGGGTATAGTGGAGTCCAGTACAAGGAGTCCACTAGGAGTCCACTAGGAATCCATTAGGAATTTCCGAGTACCAGGAGTCCAGTAAGACCACAGTTTGTCACTGTTATTGTTATTAATATAATGTAAAAATAAAAGTGCAACATCGGAAATTGAACACTTGACCTTAGGATCAAGGTGCCACAATTAAGGGAAGCGCTCAAACACCTGGACCATGACGGCTTTACTATAGGTATGTACTTTAACCTACACATACCTACAGATCGGCCGCTTTCCCAGAACGAACATTGGCAAATTCCGTTCGTGGAAATTCTGCACAAACCCTTGACCCACTCTTCCTCGCAACCACCACCATCGACAACACATCGACAACCACCGCACACCACCCACTGCTTCCACCACCCATCGACACACACCACGCCCGCCAACGCACACTCCGCAAAGCCACGACGACCCCCGAGCAGCCGCAAAGATGCGAAGGAACAAGAACAACACCCACCCAACAACGCCAAATGCCAGCACACACGAATGGACAGAGGCGCCGACGGCAAGCTCAGGTGACCTCACTACCCTCTCCCCCCTTTATTTCTCACATAAACTAGGTGCCACGTCACCGACGTGGCACTAGACGACGAACGATGAACCGAAATTCGTCGTTCGTCATCATTTTTTTTTCTGCTAGACCATGAAACACCCTCCGCCCACAAAAAACACCCACCGCCCACAAAGAACACCCACCAGCCCACAAACGACGACCGCCACCCCATGAAAAATGCGCAGAGCCCACAATGACAACCAGCACCACCTACGAAAAACACCCAGCACCCATAAACAACTGCCGCCGCCCACGACAAATACCCAGCACCCACAAACGACGACCGCCACCACCTATGAAAAATGCGCAGAGCCCACAATGACAACCACCACCACCTACGAAAAACACCCAGCACCCATAAACAACTGCCGCCGCCCACGACAAATACCCAGCACCCACAAACGACGACCGCCACCACCTATGAAAAATGCCCAGAGCCCACAGATGACAACTGCCACCACCTACGAAAAACACCCAGCGCCCATAAACAACTGCCGCCGCCCACGAAAAATACCCAGCACCCACAAACGACGACCGCCACCGCCTATGAAAAATGCCCAGAGCCCACAGACGACGACTGCCGCCACCTACGAAAAACACCCAGCGCCCATAAACAACTGCCACCGCCCATGACAAACACCCAGCGCCCCCAAATGACGACCGCCACCGCATACGAAAAATGCCCAGAGCCCACAGACGACGACTGCTGCCGCCTACGAAAAACACCCAGCGCCCATAAACGACAGCCGCCGCTCACGACAAATACCCAGCACCCACAAATGACGACCGCCACCGCATACGAAAAACGCCCAGAGCCCACAGACGACGACTGCTGCCGCCTACGAAAAACACCCAGCACCCACAAACGACAGCCGCCGCCCACGAAAAACATCCAGCGCCCCCAAACAATGACCACCGCCCACGAAAAGCAGCCCACCCATGCCCACGGATGACAAGCACTCCCTCGTGATGAGCTCCTTTCACTCCCTCCCCCTCAAACCCTCCCTGTCTACTCTCTGTCCTCCCCCCCCTCCCTCTCCCTCCATCACTCCCACCTCCCTTCCCTCCCTTCCCCTCCCTCTCCCTCCCCCTCCATCACTCCACCTCCCTTCCATCACTCCCACCTCCCTTCCCCTCCGTCTCCCTCACCCTGTCTCCCCCTCCCTTCTCCTCCCTTCCCTTCTCTCACCCTCCCTTCCCCTGCCTTCCCCCTCCCTCACTCTCCCCCCCCCTCATCATTTCCCACCACTTCCTCCCTCCCCCACCCTGACCACATTAGATTATTAAATATTTTTGTATATATTTGTGTATATAGTCATCAATATAATATCTATGTTTAAATGGAAGTTTGGTATGGAATTTTGAGGTGTTAAAAGGTCTGACTGACTTAATCAAAAATTGATAGAATGCATGATACTCCAGTAGGAGTCCAGTAGGAATCCAACTGAAGGTTTGGATTTTTTTTGTCTAAGTTCAGTTGGAGTCCAGTTGGAGTCCAATAGGTGGAAATTGCCTTTTTTGGAAGAATTGTTGAAATCCAGTGGGAATCCTACTGGAGTCCTGGAATCCAGTAGGAATCTTACTGGAGTCCTGGAGTCCAGTAGGAATAGGTGGGGGAGTGATAAGTACTGTGCATCACCAGGGTTATAATAATCATCATTGTCATTGTCACCATCACTCAGCACACCATCAGGCTCATCAGATACAATGACCATGTCCTGATCTGAGGTGCAGAGTTCTTTATACTTTTATGGGTACATTTTGAATTCCTAGGCCTCCCAGGTCCATCTCAATGCCTCTAGAAAACAAAATTCAAATACTATAAATATACCATATGTTGTAGAAACCAAGATCAATGTACCTTAGCAGGATGACCACCATTGCGATCAACAGTTGGTTCCAAAATCTGATTCAGAACGAGTTCATGGAACTGATCAGAGCCAACCGTTGTTTTATAATTAGGGACAGCGAGGTCAGTTTTTACAGCTAATATGGTCTGAAGAATGGAATCAGTGCTTTTTAAAGGAAAATAAAAATTGTTGACACACAAGTGATGTTGATGGTGCTATCCAGCTCTGAGGTAACTTTGCACAAATGATGGTAAATGCTTTGAGAGGGCAGCCATGAAATAAACATTGACTGTTGGACTCTTCTCTGCAGAAAACATTTTGTTAGAGATGAATTTTGAGTTGCTGAGATATCTTACTGATATTGTGAGGGTGTATTAGGCCATGTGAAGCATTACTTCTCAAAAAAAAATTCCAGATCTTTTAAATCATGGGGCTGGCCTATATAAAAGTGAAACAATCAAGTTTTGACATGGCATTTGAAAATAATAGCTCACCAATGGTGTGGCTTTGATCTAGAAGGCCCTCCTCCAAATACTTGAGGTATAGGTATTTAGGAACCTGCACACTGCAACACCGGAAGACATCAACAAATGAATGTAAATATTTCTGATTAGAGTCCTCATTGAACTCAAATATGTTTTCCTGGACTACACCACAGCTTGCTGCCATTGGCTTGTAGTATTCTTCTTGGACAAACTGGTCAAGGTAATCTGGAATGCCTTTCAAAAGGTCAGAAAACCTTGTCTCATCTTCACAAATATGAATCACTGGAGTCACAGGGTGTACACCGAGATTGTAGCAGACATCATTTGTGAGATGGCACCTGAGTCTGGTGAAGGCCGCACCTGAGTTGATGCAGATCTCTCTGATCATCGGACCCAGGGGTGGTGGTGCTGGTGCTGGTGCTGGCATCACCTCCATCCTGAAATATATTAAGTGTTCAATTCAAATTAGAAGATTTTGCATACTGGTTTATGTCCTTCAGCTCGTCCTGGTACTGTTCATGTTCTTTTATCATGTTGTTTCTCCAGCTTTTGAGTGCTTTTTCAGCAAGCTCTTGCTCAACAATCCAATCTGGACCACCTTTAAATTTCCAAAACAACAGATACCATGACTTGACCATAGTGTTTGAAAGTCCGGTCTGGTCCGGTCTTTTGATGCCCAGGGGCTTTAACCGTGACCGTAACCGGTCTACCCTTTTCCCAGAAGTCAAAAAGACCGGACTGGACTGCAAAAGACCGTGGTCTGCGGTCTTTAGACTGGTTTCAGTCTGCACCAGTTTTAACCAGTCTATGACCGGTCTTGAGGCTAATATTTTAAACTTATGAATCAGTAAATTTATTAACATGTCTACTGGCTTTAAAACGAGCCCAAGAACGTTAAATTCAGTTAGGAATTGGTGTTTCTATAAAATAAATCTGGTACATCTACTATTTCAAAAATATTTTACAATTTAATTCATATCTCTCTCGATTCTTTACCAAATTTTATGTTCATGGGTGGGTTTTAAAGGGTATTTAAGGGGCTACAAAAGACCGGTTCACGAAGACCATAACCACAGGTCCGGTCTTTTGCGGTCTTGGTCCAGTCTGGCTACAGTTTTTTTCCAGTCATGAGACCGGACTTCTAAACACTACTTGACCAGGAAACTTCAATGAGTGTATATTTGCTGACAAGATTGAAGCTATTCATACCTCAGTCCCAACTTCAAAGTCCTCCTGGGTCCAGGGCCTGTTCCTGCTCTTGACATGCATGCGGGCAAGGCCACAAAAGTCACAGAGGACAAAAACAGACTCCTGGGACACAAATGCTGCCAGAATGCGGATTGTCTGGGGGTAGGTTTCTGATGAGTTCTTGACAATTAATCTGTCGGGAATGAGAAAAGTTCTCATTTTCAAGGCCTTTTCCTTGTCTTTGTTTGGACCTGGGTGATGACCATTGCATGCTACATGTCACATTTCAATTGCTCAGTTTCATGGATTGGGGAAGAAAACAAAACTTACATGTCCACATGCCGTAACCATATGGTTTTCGATTAATCAAAACCCTTTTCAATAGAATCACTGATTAATCAAACAGCTCGTTTAATCAAAGATATAGATTTGATATAGACTACCGACTTGACAAAAATAACATCATTATTCTGTATCTACCAATCTTGATATCTGATTCAAATTCATTCAATCATGATTTAAAGGCAATTCAGACAAAGTAGACACTGAATCAAGATAAAAGATCAATATATCTTGATTCAAATTAGTGAGATTAAAAGATTTAAACATGATTCAATCCTGGGGAGAGGGGATTAGCGATGCCCATAGCTCTCATGTATTACTTACACAGAGGGGGTGTAGTTGATTGCCCTTCACTGCAGGTTTTGTCAGCAATCAAGATGGGGTTATGAGAGAATTTGTACAGGAGAAAATCTTCCAGCCCTCGTCTGTCCATCTGGCGATCTTGCTGGATAAGATCTGAAAGAATTTGCCCATCTTGAAGCACTCAATTTGCATATCCAGCTGCGTTTAACTTCGCTTGTGCAATTTGTTTCATCTGCGAGAACATGGCCGACTTCTTGCTTGTGTATGCTGCATGACCTTGGCTGGGACTTGACTTTGAAAGCTGAGCCCATACATGGCTCATCTTATCAAAGCTCCGAATGCAGCACATAAACTCAGCTTGCTTTCTCTCCCATTCCTCTTGCCAGCACTGCATCTCGGCCTCAGCCCGGGACCATTGCACACGATCTCCTACCAAATCTGGTCTTAGCTGGGTACGGAGATGATAGCGGATGCTCACCTTCTTCTGCCCAGGCCTTCAGATCCTTCTCAGATAGCTTTCCCATGGTTCCAAGCAACCAAATCCATTCATCGTCCTGGGGAGCTAGTGAGTGGTATCTCAAAGGATTCTCTTTCATTGATACGAAAGAACTCACTAGGCGCCGCCTTTCCTACTGCCAAAACATGGGAAACACTGGTGT